TAGCACCATGTGATTTTCATCTTTTTACTCAGCTGAAAAAGCACCTGCGTGGTATAAAATTCGACGGCGACGAGGGGGTGATGTGTGCTCTAGAGGCCTTTTTCAAGTCCCAGAATCAAGGCCTTTTCCAAGGGAATTACCCAACGTGCAAAATGCTATTCAAGGTGTATTAGCTTAATCAGGCGGTCGGCTGGACTTCATTCCTTTGTTGTCGATATTCCACGCATTAGAACCAAACGGTTTGTTTCGTCTTTTGTAATGCGTACAGCAAAGGAGTGGAATAATTTTCAGGCGTCTACATTTCCGTCCGAGTACAATCTGGACGTTATCAAGGCAAGAGTAGATAAGTTTTTGTTATGGTGATTTACTATATTATAAGGCTACATTACCACTTACCACCAGGTGTGATTGTGGTCAAACACTGGCTTATAATAAGTTAAAAAAAAACGTTGAAAAATAAATAAAATTTAATTATTATACTTATCCTTTTGAGTTTCAGTGCGTTTCCAAAAACTTCTTGGTCCTAGGTTGACCAAGAAGTTTTTGGAAACGCACTGAAACTGTGCGTTTACAAAGTTTAGATTATACTTATAATTTTAAATTAAAATTTTTGTACAACCGACTTTAATATAAATTATTAAGAATAACTTAAAAACTATTGGTCAGACCTTAATCAGTTTTATATGGGAGAACATGAGAAGTACCAACTTTCAAATAAAAAATAGTATCATCGAAATCGGTTCACCCAGAAAAAAGTTATGAGTTAACCACACATAAAAAAAAGAATAAAAGATATACAGTCGAATTGAGTACCGTCTCTTTTTTGATGTCGGTAGAAAAATTCGTCATTGGGTTTTTCTTTCATATAATTCTCAGTATTAGCATAGAATAAATAATAGATTAGTCAGAAGTCAGGAAGTTGGCTTTCTTTACCCCCGTGCCTCGAAAAGTACGTAAATGCCGGTGGTCTTGTAACTAATCTCGGTCGATTTGGAGGACATCACATCAATTTATATTCTGGATATCTCACGAATAAAACAAAACAATCAATCGGAAGGAGTAACTTAATAAAATATTGTTGTGAACGTGCGTATTTATTTCCAGTTTCGTTCTCATTCTTAATTAGTTCTAAATTCGTTGAAATATTTTTATATGTTCTAATAGTAAGTAGTAAGTAATAATAATTATTTACCACGATGTCCGATTTCAATGTTTCTTTGTTTTTGTTAGAAAGGAGGTACCTCAGGGGATTACCATATACTTTACATGTGAACAAGATTTGATGATGGCATCTATGAGAGAATCAATTTTCTCTGATAGATCCCATCTCTTCAATTTTCAAAGGCATATGCATGAAATATAAGCGAATAATTCTTTATCATGTCAACCAATTTCGATGATCATATTCTTTTTGGTTCTTGAACTCGGTTTTCACTTTTTCTAAAGTGAAGAAAAAAGAATTATTCTAAAATGATTAGTGAATTTTGCTGACGCATTGACATGACGTAAACAGTTATATAAATACAAAGAGATTTAAATATATAGGTATACTATAGAGCGGACATTGGGAACATTTATATACAAAACCTTTTAGCTAGTGCGCGTGTGGCACCCTCTAGCTAAAAATAGCAAAACAACACTAAGCATTTATTAAGACAACATTAATTTTAGCTATTCCCCAGTAGATGACGCTAATAAATATAACGTCGTTTTAGGAATGTTACCGTCGATATCAAAGTATCGATAATGTTGTTGAAGATTACTAAGTTTGAAATACTGTTCGATATAATAATAGAGATGTTTTATTGTATAAATCTATTTATCATGACGTCCATCACACGAAAAAATCATATTAACTTTTTACGCCCCTTTAGTGTCATGAAATAAAATATTTAATTTCCAATAACTAAGAATCAATTCAAACAGCAGTCAATTTGGTTGCCACCTTGGTATCGTCTTGGATGACGTCACTCGGTCTATTAGCTGCTGTAATAATAGCATATGATTGATCGGTCGGCGTTAAAGACACATCGAGAAACGCCAAATCCAATAAGAGGGCACCTCTATGTTTTTAAATTCGTTTCTATTACAAAAATACACTTCAAATCTAAAATATTTTATGAAAACACTGAACTTAAAAGCCGCTTCACGATTTTTCACGTTTCATCAGCTGCAGTACTTAAGACACTACCCACATCAATAAAAATTGTTATTTTAAGTTTTTACCTTATTTCTTAACTCAGGCTTAACCTATAACTTCTTGCATCTAATATCTTTAACAGTACAAATTGTTTTTAATGTAAGAAACCTATAGCCCTCTCCTATCACTGTAAGCGAGGATCTATAATGACTTTGTCCTTGAAAACCAACAGACAATGAAGCCCGGTGTAAAACCACCAGACAATGAAGCCTGGTATGTAAAAGAGAAGACTTGCTGTATTGCTAAACATCAACACAGCAAGTATCCTCAGCATGCTCATAAGCAACACAGAAAATCTCTTCAGCATGCCTAAAAAAAATTTCCCACCCTTGCTCTACATAAAGTAGGCTACTTAGCATAATTGGTATATGCTACTCATTTTTGTTGGTATGGGTACAATATCGTTGACTGTTTTACTACCTTAAATATTGTAAAGGATTAAATCGGCATCCTGTATATTTTTTATCGATAATCCCAATCGATAAACGTCGTCAATCACTAACTTTAAAATTGGTAACTAAATAGTGACGTTTACTGGATAACAGAGGGCGCTTATTACAATAAAAATAAATGTTCTAGAACAATCTACTAGAAATAATAAAATTTAAAGATTATTCGGTAAATATATGTTATATTTACGATAATAAACCGAAATCACGTTCATTTTTTTTTGCCCCATATCGTGACTTACAATGTCTTTATGCACAACCGGGCACTTTTTCTTTCAAAATATTTTTAAAATATATGAAACGGATGCGTCTTGACTTTTTGACGATGTCACTAAGACCCGCCTAAGGGTATTAGTGTTCTGTGCACTAAGACTAAATGACAAAATCGGAGATATATCCTTATCTATGTATATCCAATACGACAAAAGTTACAGACGACAATTTTGCTGCTGACGTCCGGTCTATTACTACTACTATTTAAATGTCTTTGTAAAGAATACTTAGTTTATAATATTTTAAACTATTGTTTATTCTATTTACAATGTTTTATTATGTATGTATCTCATAAATAAAATTAATACTAATAAAAACATATCGTACAGAACAATTATTTATGCCTTATATTTTTTTACTATAATTTTATTTTTAACGAACTTAGGTGTACCTATTTGAAAGGCATTGAATTTTTAAAATGAACTTTTATAAATATTTATTTCCATATCCATTTTATAAATAATTATTTCTATTTATAACTAGCTGTTTCCCGCGACTTTGCCCACGGGGAATTTATTGCGATTGGATTTCATGGTTTTTTCATTTTTTTGCGCAGCACCCTAATTCTTTTTCTAAAATAAAAGTAGCTTAAGTTACTCCTTATAACATCAGCTATCTGCCAGTGACCGTCCCATCTAAATCGGTTCATAGGTTTTTACGTGTTCAGACAGACGTTGTGTTAGAGTTTTATTATAGTAAAAATAGATTTTTTTTTCACAGAATAAGGGTGACAAACGAGCACACAGTCCACCTGATGGTAAGTGGTTGCTGTGGCCCATAGACATCTACATCTATCTTCGTTTGCGAATTAAAATGCAGATGCGTTGTCAGCCGTGAGGACTGAGATGGAATGCCTCTTTTCCAGTAAAAAGCGTCTCCGGTTCTCTACACTCACCATACGAAACACAGCAGCATTAAGCTGCTATTTTACGCTGGTATTCTGTGAGAGCGTGGTCCTTCCCCGGTCGAGCCGACCCATTCGTGCTACAACCATACTATTAATATAGCTGCAGCAAGGCTCTACCACGTATAAAAGGATAGAATAGAAAGATAGAAGGATAGAAGATTATTTTTCTATAATATTGGAGTGGTGACCGAAATGATATTATGTTAAGGAGACTACACAGATGCGTTGTGACCTCTGAGGATTATGAAAGATTACCTCACAGCCTGTGATTGTACTGGCTCTCTATATACCATTCGGACTGGAACACAGCAGTGCAAACACTAGGTACCTACTATTTGACGGTAAAAAGAGATAAAGTGACACCACACATTCGGATTCCTAGGCTGAAAAAATGTTAATTAATAAAGGTATGTAATAACGGTATTATTATAATATATTTGGCGGCTCGGTGGCATAGTGGCTTAGAATTGATTTGGGGACCTAAGGGCCGCGGGTTCCAATCTTGCATGGAACACTTTTTATTGTCCTTGTGCAGTTTATAAGTACATATATTTTTTTACAGGATAGGGTGACAAACGAGCACACAGTCCACCTGATGATAAGTGGTTGCTGTGGCCTATAGACATCTACATACATCCTCGTTTGCGAATCAAAATGCAGATGCGTGTCACCCGTGAGGACTAAGATGGAATGCCTCTTTTCCAGTAAGAAGGGTCTCCGGTTCTCTACACTCACCATACGAAACACAACAGTGTTAAACTGCTATTTAACGCTGGTATTCAGTGAGAGCGTATCCTTCCCCGGTCGAGCCGACCCATTCGTGCTACAACTATACTATTAATATAGCAGCAGCATACCTCTACCACGTATATGTAAACTCCACGGCATGAGATATTCTAATCTGAGAGTAAAGTTTAAACATAAAATTAAAATAAATTTTATATTGTTTTATTTATTTGTATAAGAATTAAAAACATTAAAAAAGTAAGATTATTTATAATTTCTGCGTCTAGTATTTGCACATAATTTATGAATTTAATTTTCTTGAAATACGGCCAAAAGAATGCGCGCGGTCCTCTAAAAATAACTTACAGATGTTTCAGTTTCGCGCTATCGCAGCCGCATACTGCTAACACTGAATTCAGTGATTTTTTTTTAATTTTTAAATACAATGAGTGCTGAGTTAGTATCTTTACCGTGTCCAATATGTTTACATACTGGTGTGTTTGAATCGGCACAAGCATTAAAAGATAGATTGATATATGTTTCAACCAACAATATTATGTGCCCAATATGTCATGAATCAATAACAGGGTTAGATAAATTCACTATACATTTGTTTAGTCACGTCCAGTTAATATCATCAGAAAAGCCATCGGAAAATTTTGAAACTACGAAAACAAAACCTGGAATAAGACAAGTAAATCAAGCATCAATTGCAACGCAGCAAAAGAAAACCAGAACGACGGCGACTAAAAATAAACCACCGACAGCTATGGTACCAGTGAAATTTGTTAAAATATACCCAAAACTGCCTGTGATAGCTTTGAATACTGTGCCTGTTATAGATATTTCTGAAGGATCTGCCAACGGATGCGTGCAGAGTAATAATTCATTATACATACCAACTGTAAAAACAAAAGCAGCACTTATCCAGACCGATAATAAATGTGATATTTGCGGATTGCAGTTTCTCGATTCTGATATTTTAAGAAAACATGAATGTTTAACTCGCAACGTAGATGATCATTCGGAGAACAATTACGCGAGATATTATTGTCACTTATGTCCGAAAAATTTTAAAATGAGGGGTTCTTTAATGGTACATTTGAGAGTAGCCCATTATGGATTTTCCTCCATACATAAGACCGATAACACGAATAACAGCAGTGAAAAGAATACTAAGGATGATATACAAGACAAGCCTTTAACCCCTGAGAAAAGTGATGGGAAACAATGGCAGTGCGATGTTTGTCGTAAAAGTTTCACAACAAAATATTTTTTAAAGAAACACAAGCGACTTCATACAGGTTAAAAATATTGGTGTTCATTTGAGGTAATATTACTAACCGAATGCCAAAATCATTGTTTTATGCGATATGCGGGACAAATATATGTTAACGTTAGGTATACGTAAACGTAGTGGTTATATTCTCATTGGGTATACGCTTTGCGGGTTGAAGTATCATAAACATTCACTTACTACTCACCTTTAACCAAAGCCATTAATCATTGCGCTTCGAGGCTTTGTTAGATTGATTATGTCGATAAGCGATAAGCGATTAATTAAAATAAATATAAATTGTGTTTGCTTCCTCAGCTTTAATAGCTTTATTATTTATTTTTCAGGAGAAACGCCGTATGCATGTAGTCAATGCAATAAAACTTTTACATTTCAACAATCTTACCATAAGCACCTTCTCTATCACAACGACGATAAACCCCACATATGCAACTACTGCGGTCGGGCTTTCAAAGAATTATCCACTTTACATAATCATCAGCGGATACATACCGGGGAAAAGCCGTTTTCCTGTGAAACATGTGGTATGAGCGCTTTATTACTATAATTACATATTAAAATATAATGTTTAGTATGAGACGGCTTCGCAGCATAGCATAGCATGTAGCTGCGATACCTACCTCGGGACCGCGAATTCGCATTCTTCACGGAATAAGTGTTTGTATGAGCTATAATTATTATTAACAAATAATAGTTCAGGGTCAAGAAGTCTGTCCATAATTACTGATTTGCAGCCGTTACAAAACATTATTATTAGTTACTTTTTATTTAAAAAAAAAAGCATCATATATATAACTTATAATAATGAATAAATATAACACATCCGATAATTTGTTAATTAATTATATTGTTCGTTTTGTGGTAACGGAAGCAAAGGCTTGTAGTCAGAGCGATGTGGTTGTAAGTTTGTAATTAAAAAGTAACTAAACACTTTTTGTATTGAGACTGATTTTTAAATTTAATAGTTACTTAATAAGTTAGGTTAGTTTAGTTATTGCTATTTATTATAAAAATTACGTGTCACATTTATTGTCGGCGATGAACTCTTAAACTACTGAACTGATTTCAATGAAATTTTGCACACTGTGTGCAGTTTGGTCCAACTTGAGAGATAGGATAGTTTTTATCTCGATAAGTGACTCTCAATTTTTTTATTGCTAATTTCAGGAGTTTTTTTTTTTTTGGGATAGCAAATGGTCGTTCGGAAAGGACAGAACAACGTGTGCCTGGTCAGCTAGTTATTATATAAATTTATTAAATAAATTCGAATTTACTGGTTTTTGAAAAGAATCTGGCGTTACCTTGCGGATATTCATTAAGTATATTAAAACCTTAGAGTATAGATAAGAAAGCTGTGTATGTAATATAGCTTGTTTATGAATAATCTAAAATTAAACAGTATATTATTTATGCCGTGCCGTTCGTGAACTTTCATTAGAATCGATTCAGCCATTTCGAAGATTAGCCCAGACAGGCAGATGGTCATACAGATAAACACACAGACAGATAGGCATACAGACAGACAGATAGACAGATACTTTAAAATTTTATTTGCTTATTTAAAGTAGCCCCCTCAGCCCAATAAAAGGCAGGTATTTGGATATTACGGACAGACACTTAAATTTTATTAAATTAAAAAGCTAAGATTCGAGTGAAAAAAAAACAACCTGTTAAGAAGCCCCTTTCAATTTTTAATTTATTTTAATTTTTATTAATTGTAGTTATAGCGGCAACAAAAATACACATTCTGTGGAAATTTTAACTACCTGTTACGGATAATGAGATACAGCCCGCTGACAGACAGAAGGACGGACGGACAGCGGACGCTTAGTAATAGGGTCCCGTTGGTTACCCTTCGGGTACGGAACCCTAAAAAGTGTGTGATTATTGATATTTGATATATTATAAATATATTTATCTACATATTTTGTTATATCTTTGATGACACTTTTATAAGCTTCCGATAAGAAACTTAGTAACACGTGCTTAAGGATTTTTGATGCTTACTCCATTCCTAAGAGGAAAATTGGGAATGAAATCTATTAAGTACCTATAAAGCTATTTTGATGCGGTTTTCAATTATATCAATATAGTTTTTATTGTACACTAATAAACATTGAAACAAAAATAAAATGAATAAACAAAGATACAGTAGGCGGTTTTATCACTCTGGAAGCAATTTTTTCCATACAACCTTATTACTAACCTTATTAAGTACCCACATAAATTATACAATAAAGTTAAAATAATAAAAATCATGACTTTATGGACATTACAACTTTGACGCGGGTAACACAGCGGGGCCAAAAGCTAGTTATTTGATAAATAAGATTAGATTTTCTATTATTATTATTATTTTGGGGTATTTATAGAGTATTCTAATCTGGTTGGGCTGAATAAATATATTAAAGGAAATATAAAATAAATATAAATATATATATATATATATATATATATATATATATATATATATATATATATATATAAAACAAACTAATATAAATAAATAAAGTCCCAACCAGATGGAAGCCCTCAGCAGGGGAGACCAAACGGCCGAGGGTTAGGGGGGAAGGGAAAGAAACCGGCGGATGATGCGGCGATGGAGCATCGCCTTCTGCATTTGAGCCCGGAGTGCTCCGTCACGAAGTCCCAGCCGCCTCAGATTACCCGAAAGGCTGACCGGGATTAACCCGTTTGCAGAGACGACTACAGGAATAATTTCGGTCGGCAAACCTCGACCGATCACATCGTGAGCCAGGTCCAGATATTTTGTTTTCTTATCTGCTTCGGCTTTCACGAGGTTCTCGTCATACGGAATGGTAATGTCGACCAAAACTATTCTTCATTGTGCCCGATCCATTAGCACAATATCAGGCTTATTCGCAAGAATAATTCTGTCTGTGACGATGGCACGGTCCCAGTAGAGCCTGGCGCGGTCATTTTCGAGCACGGCTTCCGGCAAGTACGTATAATACGGCAGTTTCCGATCCACGAGACCGTATTTCAGAGCAAGCTCCTGGTGTAGAATCCTGGCTACTAAGTTGTGCCTGTGCAAATAATCAGAGTTAGAAAGCGCCGAACAACCAGAGATGACATGCCTAAGTGACTCACCGGGATGGCGACAAGCTCGACAGATGTCGACGGAGCCATCCTTTAGGCTGTATCTCCGATAATTGTTGGTCTTAATAACCTGATCCTGTATCGCACAGACAAAACCCTCGGTTTCCCCAAAGAGGTCACTGAAACGTAGCCAGTGGAGGGAGGTGACTGTGTCTACGAAAGGCTCATGTAGAGCCTTGTAGAACCTCCCGTGGAGCTCCTTCTCCTTCCATACGGTCTCCCTGTCGGAAATGCTCTGTACTGCCGGGTCTTGCCATTGCTCGTTGGCTAAGGATAGAGGGGTAACTCCTTTATCACAAGAAATAACGTCCCTATAGTATGGATCATCCACTCTCGTCAGAAAGTAATTACGGAGGCTGCACACTTTGCGATTATGCATGGTAAGCGCGCTTAATAAGCCACGTCCACCCTGCTTCCGCGGCAAGTACAGCCTCATTACTGACGGACTCGGATGATGCATCCTGTGGGACGTCATAATAGTGCGGACTTTTCTGTCCAGAGCGTTCAGTTCGGTCTGAATCCACCTGAGTATGCGAAAGGTATACATGAGAACAGGCATGATCCAACCGTTATATGCGTGCGTCTTATTCACACCGGGCAAAAGGCTGTTAAGCACTTTGGTCAAGCGTGCATAAAACACTTCGCAAACTGACTGTTTCATACCCGCCTCATCTACACCGATATTCTGTGACATACCCAGGTATCGGTATGTTTCAGCCTCGGAAAGGGTCCTTATGTTGATGGGCATAGATAAGTCTATGCCCTCAGAGTTAGCAACCCTTCCCCTTTCAACATGTAGGACCGCACACTTATCCGTCCCCAGCTCCACTCCAATCTATATAATCAACTACTAAAATCACAAGTGATGTTTAGCAGCTCCACAAGATGGGAGCGACTGGAGGCGAATAACTTGAGATCATCCATATAGAAAAGGTGGGTCACTTTTGTCCCTCCTTTCCGAAGCTGAAATCCCCTCCCGGAGTCCTCCAGTAAGGTACTGAGAGGGTTCAGGGAGAGGCAAAATCAAATTGGACTCAAACAATCGCCCTGGAAGATATCCCTTCTTATCCTTATGCGGCTTTCCGCATCCGTCATCCGCTCGCCTAGATGACAAAGGACTGTACTCTACTGCCCCATACATTGCCCGAGGAAGTCTCTAACTGTACAATCAACCTTGTACAGCTCGAAGACCCTCTTTAGCTATGTATGAGGCACCGAGTCGAATGCCGCGTCAATGAGGAGTGGTTCCTTGGTTCCACGACCACCGCCCCGGCATCCATTTTGAGCACGCGACATCACCTGGTTTAAATCCAGGTGACGAATGATTCGCGTACTCAAAATGGATGTCAGTCTCTTATATATGGTGAGTAGACATGTAATGGGGCGGTATTTGCTCGGGTCTGTGAAATCCCGGTCTTTAGGAACCATGAGTGATCCCAGTAGTGAAGAGGCTCGGGAGCGACTTTTGGTCGAGAACCTCTTGAAACTGTCGGGCGAGCATAGCGTGATACACCACGAACCCCTTCAGCCAGTAGTGATGCAGTCCGTCGAGTCCCGGACTTCTCCAGTTTGGGGCCCTACGGACCGCCTCAGCTACGTCATCCGGCGTTATGATGACGGGGTCCATGGGCGTAACATTCGCACACTGACTCTCCACAACTTCCGTCCAAGGGCCCTCGCTGTGGTTTACGGGCTCTGACCACAGGCCGCGCCAGAATGCGATAGCGTCGGCCTGATTCGGCGCTGAGCCCGTTCCACGTACCATTGGCCGCTCCAATGATTCATAGAGCCTCTTCTGATCACTCTGGAAGAGACGATTCCGGTTGAACCGTGTCGACCTCTCGGTATGTCGCCGAATCCGCTTCCCCCAAGCAGCGATTCTCTGCTTCTCTTTGTCCCAGCAAACGCCATCCTGACGGTGCGCACAATTCTCTTATTCTGGTGCGCATAATTCTTATTATTATTATTATTAACAAGCACTTATTGATTTTATGTATAATTTATTTAATTTAAAAGAGAAAAAGATTTTGTCAATGACCCTTTAATTTTGAAATTTAAGAAAAATTTAGTCTGAACCTCGTGACTTTTGGTAATTGATCTTAGTGACTAATTTTTGTCAGGTGCTCGGTAGAGAGTAATTGTGTTCTGTGGTCAGGTGCCTCCTGACAAAAATTCATTCCATCGGTCTCCTGCCATCATCTCTAAATTGTTACATATAGCATATTACATATCGCTCAAAAACAGAGGAACATTTTATTTATAGAGTTATGAGTCCTTCGGATAACGTCCTTCGGAGAACCAAGACAGTGGCAGAATTGTAGCTGTCTCGACCCTCTTAAATAGATAGATACGCGAGCACAATACGTAGTTAATTAAATACACCAGTGCGTCCCACTGCTTATGGACATAATATTAAACGATTATTTCTTTTACAGCCGAGCTCGTGGCCTTGCTAAATCACTATATAATTAAAATATAAACTACTTAATAGTTTCATTGATTCAGAATCACACTTGCGTCTCTCTTTTTTATTTTTATTATACTCGCTTTAATTCAATAAAATCAATAATATTGACTTAATTCTATATGAGCATATATGTATGTATTCATATATGTTTAAGAGTGTATGTGTAAATTCAATTCAATGTATATTTGGCACAGATAGATCATATCATATTATGATCTGTCTGTACCAAATTTTATTCAAATTTATTTAGGAATGTGTGACTATAACAAACGTCGAAACTTTTACGTATAATATAATAATACGATAACAACCAGAGAGAAAATAATTATATGTAGGCCATACAAACAATTTTCCATTACGAGAATCGAACCCACTGCGGGAAATGAAAAGATAAATTAGCCCTGCAGCTAATTTCTACAAAATATTGAGCATGTTTGTAATGATCATTAATTTAATTCTGAAAATTCCGCGTTTAGTTAAATTACCTAGTAAAAAATTACAAAAATATTCAATTTGATGGTCATATTATCACATAATGAAAAGTAAAATCATTAGTTGGAATAATTATCAATTTTAAAATGTTTGAATATATTATATTTAAATTTAATGCATTTTTCTTGCAGGAAAATGTTTCCGCCAGAGAGTATCTTATTTAGTTCATCGAAGGATACACACTGGAGCAATGCCTTACAAATGTACAGCTTGTGAAAAAAGTTTTCGGTATAAAGTAAGCGATTTTTTGTAACATAAAAATTATTAATAAAATATTATATACGGCTGTGAATATAAATATTAACTAACTATAATAGCTTACTACGTTTAACTTTTCTATCATCTTCTGATAGCTCTGATAAAAATAATAGTAAGAATTTTCCCCATAATTTTCTGGCTAGCGGGATGGGATGATGTAGCCTGCCAGTGCAACCGCGACACTGTGTAAGTAGTTTTCGCGGCTACGGCGCGGTTACGGCAAAACTGCCACTGCAGACCAAGTCTATGTGCGACAACTTTTCAGCACTTTTAATTTTTCGTTATTACCATTATAGACTCATAAACGCACAATTAGATTCTCATAAGTGGCAGAGCGACGCAGCAGTTGTATTATGATTCCAGCACGAACGAGCAGGTTAAACTGTAGAAGGACCACGCTCTCACAGAATACCAAGTATACTAATAACCAGGTGGATTACGCTTATCACCTTTGTATAAAAATATATCTAAAACATTCTACAAATGTGTCATAATATTCGACAATGTCGAATACGGACTATTTGCCAGCCACTCCTTTCAAAAACACCTAGTTAAGGTTCTCTAAGACGCTGTTTGCTCTACCTATGCTTTGGATCTTTGTCACAAAATAATTTCGTGTTGAATTAGCCAAGTAACTGGTAAATTATCATCATGGAATCATTGCCTTCTCTAACATATTTATACTGAAATTTATTCAATATTCCTTCAATGTTTCTCACGGGGCACCGACTTTCTTTGTCTTTTCACGTACCTATTATTTAGCAACGTAAGTTTTCTATTAGAATTCATCAATTTTGTTTTAGTTTTGCCCTCAATACAGAATGCGTTGTCACCCCTGAGGGTTATGATAGAACGCCTTATTTTCATCAAAAGTAGTCTCGGGTTTTCTATACACACATCCGAAATACAGCAGAGTTAAGCCACAATTTCACACTAGTATTCTGTGAGAGCATGGTGCTTCCGGTCAGTCTGACCCATTCGTGTTACAACCATAATATAGATGCAGCATGGCTCTACCACGTTCATTCGAAAAAGCCTGCAGATGTTCATGAGCCGCGATGATCACTTTTTCACTCACCATCAGGTGAGCCGTATGCTCATTTGCCTTTTCCTCTATATGAACAAAGAGAGCTAATGTCTAAAGGCATTGAGAAATTAGATAATTTCATGTAAGGCGTGGCGACATATCTGTAGTCATTTTTGTTTGCTTACGTTGGTTACTCGCGTTAAAATCATCTGGATGCGTCACACACACTTACTTTGCAATGAAGTAAACTATATCTTCAGGTGGACTATGAGCTCCTTTGTCACTTTTTTTTTATAGGATAAGGGTGACAAACGAGCACACAGTCCACCTGATGGTAAGTGGCCGCTGTGGCCCATAGACATCTACATCTATCCTCAAAATGTCATCTACATCTATCCTCAAATCCTCAAAATGCAGATGCGTTGTCACCCGTGAGGACTAAGATGGAATGCCTCGTTTCCAGTAAAAAGGGTCTCCGGTTCTCTACACTCACCATACGAAACAGCAGCATTAAGCTGCTATTTTACGCTGGTATTCTGTGAGAGCGTGGTCCTTCCCCGGTCGAGCCGACCCATTCCTGCTACAACCATAATATAGCTGCAGCATGGCTCTACCACGTATAAAACTTTATTTTATTTTACTGTTTGCTTCAGGTTTCTCAAAGAACTCATAAATGTCAAGCTCAACCACCTGGCACTGTTATTCGACAGACTGGCGATCTCGTGGAAAAATTGAAAAAGAAATATGGTAGTTCGAATGAGACCATTTCGAAACATGAAGAGAATAAAAATATTAATTACCTCGAAGTTTCCGAAGCAAATGCAGAACTAGTTCGTACTGGAGCAAAATTATCTTTAGAGGACATGGAATCCGACAGTTTTACAATAATTGCAGAAGTTTTTAAGGAAAATAATCATGAAAATATTCAAGATTCCAATTCTTTTGAACAAATAACATATAACACAAATGATAGGCAAAAATATGAAATATTTGAATCGAATATTGAAGATCTAATTGATTCTATGCCAGACGATAAAAGTATTCCATCGCCATCAGAAATTTTAAAAAACTTGTGCATAACAAGTGATAATATATACATATAAAGACATCTTGATATTAAACAACGAATACATATTTTATGAACAGTTAATAAAGTTGCAATAATTGATATTAGTTATTACATATTGTTTCATTAAAAAATAAAATATTATAGTATTTCTATTATAAAAGAAAATAAAGTTTTATCCCTCACTCCAGGGCACAGGCATCTTCTCATTTCTGAAAAGAGCAAGGAATATCTACCGCGCAGCCACAATGCTTGTTGGCGGACTTCACATGTCTGCGAAACTTTTATTTTATTTTTCATAACAATTTCATTAGTGCCGGCAGGAATTGAACCTGGGTTACTCGCGTTCAGTGAAATTTACAAAGAGCACTTAGCTCCTGCTCTGCCACGGCTCTTCTACTACTAAGTATTTCTATTCTTAACGACATATCATTCTAAAATTATTCTTTTAAAACAATATGCATTTGTGTATGTTTATCATAAAGAGTCAATCTTTCCCCATGAAGTCAGCCAGCTGCTGGCACTTTGGATTCCGTTGTCCTATCTAGAATTTCTATACCTTCAGATCACCGTTCTCTCTTGTGCCTAATTTTGCGTTGAAGTCTCCTATTAACACGCTTCTCCTGGGCATACTCGCTTTATCGTAGAAATCATCTTTCGGGCCAGATGCAGGTCAAGAGTGAGCCTAGTTTAATAAAAAAAAGGAGGTATAGTGATAAGCCTAATATATAAGATGTAGTTGGATGGGTCTGAGCGGTCGTCTTTTTAGGTATCCAGTGCACTAAAGCTGCCATAAGCTGTTTAAGGACAGCTTTAATGCACCCGATACCTAAAGGCCCGTCCAACTACATTTTATATATTAGGCTTATCACTATCACCTCCTTTTTAGGGTTTCGTAGTTACACAACAAGAATACCTTATAGTTTCGCTATGTCCGTCCGTCCGTCCGTCAGCGGTTTTGCTCAGAGAACATAGGTGCTACAAATCTATAATTTAGCATAGTTATAGAAACTAATCACGTCTAGAAACCTGTGAAATAAAATCTTAAAAAGCATTTTTATTTTGGGTACTTCCCATACAAGTAAATGGAGGATGATTTTTTTTTTACCCGTCTATTCCAATATGTGGGGTATCTTTGAAAAGGTCTTTCTAAAAGTTTGGGGGTGTGCAACAACATGTTTTCGGTTCGGGAGTTCGGGAATATTTAGCTTTAAAATGGTGTTTTTCATTAAAGTCAGGAGCCCTCTACCAACTAAACCGCTATTTTTGGAAATGTGAAAGTATACACAATAGTAGTATATGTAATGAAGTTAAAAGGAAAATTACCACAACTAAGTAGAATTAAGAAATTAACGAGTAATAGTCGACTAACTTATAAAATGCACTAGGATTAGTAAAAATTTCGTTACAACTCCATAGAAAATGATCTAAAACTAGATGCATTAATTACTTTTTAATGTAAACCGTTAAAATAAACATTTTATGCAAAAAAAAAACAACATATGCATTACTAATATTAGCTTTACTTATTCATTTACGGGATAGATAAGGTATTATTATTATCAAAATCGAAAAGCTTTTTTAATCTTTTTGAATACCACTCACTTTAGGGCTGACTTGAAAATAAGTCCTTCAATTACAATCTTCCTATTTGGGCCTAATTTAGTCGTTATAGCGGTCATTCCGCAAACTCACTTATTATGCACATTATGATGATGGCTCACGTATTGTGACGGGCAACTACGGAACCCTACCTCTACATTGTGCGTTGGCCCGACACACACTTGGCCAGTTTTTTTTTCTTTTTTTATTATTAAACTAGGCTACTACTAAGTGTTATTATAGTGTTAAGGAATATTTTAATTGATTACAATATTATTAAATGTATTATATAATTTATCTATTTTGACATTATGTACAATTAAATTTGATTATTTTAAGATATATTTGCACACCGGTACAATTCCCGGTGGAATATTATTGAGACTTACTCTTATACTAAATACCTGTATTACCTACACATTTTATTCTGGAAAAAAAGATTTTAACTTTGACTTTGACTTTGGCTCACTCTTGACCTCAGTCTGGCCCGAGGGCAAAGATGAGGTCTACGTTGGAGCAAGTTTGCCCAGGAGAAGGCTGTTAGTTGCGTAGTCACGTTTGGTAGAGGCGCGGGAACAAAAAAATTCATACTAAAAAAATAAACACGTGTTTATGAGTGTACACTAAAAGCGCTGCGGTGGGCGCCCATATAAAACTTTTTTAGCGGAATTTAAACCTTGTATTCTGTAACTTTTAAACTTTTTGTTTGAATAATTATGGCTCGAGCCTCACAAACCTATTGGGAGAATTCCCATACATTTGAGAGGTTGCACCAAAATTACTCGAATTTACTTTAGAGTATATGGGATAAAATAAAATTAAAAATAGGTATTATAGTTATGTAATTTTATTTTTGGAAAAGATTGTTTTATACACTATATATTATTATTGATGTTTTTTATTGCTTAATTTGCAGATAATATTTCCACGCGTAATATTGATTTGTAAAATATGTTATCGTGAGAGTTATTCTTCACAGAACATTAACGTAAATTTAAATCAGCAAAATTCTCACTGTGAAAATTTAACTCAGCCCAAATACATGATCTGAAACAGAATAAGAGTTCAAAAAAATTCGAGATAATATAGTAATAATCCCTACAAATAACTATCAATAAATTCAAAATGCTTGAAGACTTACCACACAATATTGTCAAAAGTTTTTCTTCTTCTATTGTAGGAAACCTGCAGAAAGTGATCAGGTGATTTTGTGCTTTTTGCTTGCACAACGCTTATTTTACTTTCGATTCTGGTCACATCGTGCATAAATTTTTAAATAATAAATTAATTTATAGTCAATATCTCATACAGAGTCAACATCTTAGGTACAAAAATCTTTACACACACACAATCGCGAAGAAATGCCTACAAACGAAGATGAAGTATTCTGAACCTATTATAACTGAATTTAAGCAAAACGCAATGATAAATATTAAAATCTAAACCTACTAAATAAATTTGAATCAATTTCAGAAAATATTTTAAATACTAGCTGGCCAGGCAGACGTTGTTCTGCCTTTTCCAACGACCATGTGTCCTAAAAAAAATCCTTAAATTCACAATATAAAAAAATTGAGGGTCACTTATCGGGATAAAAACTATCCTCTCTCAAGTTGGACCAAACTGCTCAGTGTGCAAAATTTCATTGAAATCAGTTCAATAGTTTAGGAGTTCATCGCGGACAAACAATGAGACACCTAATTCTTATACAATATGTAACAAAAACCCTATGGTTACCGTTAAGTACGTATTCAAACGTATAGAAATATTTTTTTTTATAAGCCCGAACAATATTTTTTTATTTTATTAAAAAAAATTGTTTGCAAATTGTATGTGGTTTTATTACCTCTGCATTGTCTGGGGAGTAAAGGATTGTCAAAGAACCCTCTTTACTTACTTTAGCATCTGCTAGTGTCAGTAAGAGGTAATAAAATCACACGACCATGTTATTCCGATCCTGAGCGTGGGTGCTCAGGCTGCCCTGCGTATTCTGGGGGGGGGGGGGGGGCAAAATTCCGCTCAAAAGCATCACTGCTAGGGGCAAACTGAGCAAGAACACCAAGGCGACCCCTGCCATGCTATCCGTGAATTTCTGCAACATCAGGGGACTTCACTCGAACCTAAACACCGTCCACTACCATCTCGCTACGGCGAAGCCGGCCATGCTCTTTCTGACCGAGACGCAGGTGTCCTCTCCGGCTGATAATTCGTATCTCTCCTGCCCGGGGTACAAATTGGAGCACTCCTTTGCGTGTATGTCAGAGAGGACATCTGTTCTCGACGCCTCGGCAGTCTTGAAGGTTCGGACCTGTCCATCCTTTGGCTACGCGTAGATAGCGACTACCATCCGCGCGACTACGTGTGCCTCTATAGGTCCCATAGCGGTAATGCCGAAACAGACCGTCTCATCGACCACGTCCAAATAGCTACAGATTCCTTGCTACAACAGGTCCCATCCGCAGAGATCGTGATCCTTGGCGATTTTAACGCCCACCACGCCGAATGGCTCGGTTCACGTTTATCCGATCATGCGGGGAGATCTGTTTATGACTTTGCCTTGGCATATGATCTGACACAACTGGTTACATCGCCTACGCGGATTCCAGATGTTGAGGATCATACACCTTTCCTGTTAGACCTTCTGCTGACCTCTCATCCGGACGGATATCAGGTTTCCGTCGATGCCCCTCTTGGCTCTTCGGACCATTGTCTGATGCGGAGTGTGGTGCCACTCACGCTCCCCTCGCGGTTGCGTTCTGCAGGTTGCCGTCGTGTTTGGCATTACAGGTCGGCAGATTGGGACGGAATGCGGTCTTTCTTTGCCTTCTACCCATGGGGGCGGGTTTGCTTCTCGCCGGATGATCCCAGCGCTGTTGCTGACTCTGTCACGGATGTGGTGCTACAGGGAATGGAACTATTTATTCCATCATCTGTGGTACCCATCGGAGGCAGATCTCAGCTTTGGTTTGGTCACTCCTGTAAGACTGATTTACGCAGTAAGCAGGAGTGTTATCAAGCCTGGGCTGCGGCTTCGGCGACTCGGGATGTAAACACCAGCATACTTAAAAAGAAGTATAACTTCGCCTCCAGGTCCTTCAAAAGAGTTATTGCCAAGGCAAAGTCAGAGCACATAGGCAGAATTGGCGAGAAACTAGTTCGCCTTCCTTCGGGAACCCGTGCATTCTGGTCTCTCGCCAAGGCTGTCCAAGAGAATTTCTGTAAGCCATCACTACCAACTCTGCACAGGGACGACGACTCACTGGCCCACGACGCAAAAGAGAAAGCCGACCTTTTAGGCTCCCTTTTTGCGTCCAACTCGACTGTTGATGACGGGGGGAACACACCGCCGACCATCCCGCGGTGTGAGTGCTCCATGCCGGATGTGCGGTTCTCACAGCGCTCGGTTCGCAGAGCACTGCTCTCCCTGGACATCCA